ATGACTTTTTTCCTCCTGCTGAATTGGCTCTTGTTGCCTTTGATGTGGCTGGCGATCCAATGTCCTGCAATGGTTAGACAAGTGATCAGTTTGCCAGCGCTGAGAGGAGACAGAATCAGGTTGCTGCGAGGTCAGAGTTTGCTTCTCTTCTTAAACACTGAAAGGTCAAGTAGAGTTTAACTACCATTGGCATCTTTGAAATGTTGTAATAAACGCCAAAGCAAGGAGATTATTTTTAATCCATGCTACAAGTAAAATCTTACGGTAATAAAAGGAAATAACTTAAACTCAAATTATCAAGAACGCTATGTTTATTGATAAAGACTTCAAAGAGTACCTTTCATGATCTTTGAGGAAAGCAAAGTTGTAATTTGTGGTTCCTGTTTAAATTTCAGAAAAGCAACTAAGGTTGTTTTGGTTTTTGGTTTACGTGTAAGCACATGCACTGGTTACTGCCACTATTATCGGGGCAATTTACACAATCATGATACAGTACTTCTGTATTTCTCCTTTAAACTTAATCAAATACATTGCTATTGAAGAAATGTGGGATGAGAGCTTTCTAAATCACAAGTGTAGCATATTTTTATACCAAATAGCTCAAGTCTCATGGAATCAATAATTAATTTATTAACCGGATATCTTTTGAAAAAACAAAATCAGCAGTCCTTGCTGAACTGTGTCCTGCCAATTCATAAATAGTTGATGACAAAAATGAAAAGTGTAATGGTAAAATTCAAATCTTAACGATCAAAGTATTGGGTACCTCATCTATCACAACTTGGAATAAATATATCACAGAATGTGTCATATCTCATTGACACTGCAAGACATAATGCTTTCCCTTGTTATCTAGCTAACTGCCAACTCTACAAAGTTTATAGGCTGCTAAGATAATGTGCTGGTGGTAATCCACTTCAGTTGCAGAAATATGAAGTACTGTTGAAATATATTTCTACTTGGTTTATTCTTTGCTCTCAAGAGGATAGGATACTATTTCAGTTCCTCTAAAGAAGCCCAGAGAATGAAAAGCAGAACATCAGGATAAATTATGCTAAATGGTGGACTAGACCCCAGAGGAAATCATGCTTCTGTGGTACAGTATTCCTCCATTTATCTTACAAATGTTACATCTAATGTTAATTTTGTAAAGGGAAAGCATTCAAAGATTCATCTGATTCTTTTAATAATAGTTTTAATGTTACAGTGTTATTTGTCAAACTCATACCATCGTAATTTACTTTTTCAGTTGTGACAGACCATTCATACAGAAAATATTTAGGGCTACTAATACATAACATTTTATTTCACAAAACACAAATAACCTAGTAATTAAACTCCAAAACTTAACAAATAATTGCCAGCAAGCAATTACCATTCAATTAAAGAGTAATTACATGGTTATTTGTGCCCTGTAAAATAAAGCATTACTGAAATCAGTAACGCAATCAATATTTTAGCAGAAACAGGATGCTGCAGTGATGGACCTTTCAACCTGAGCTGATTAAATTGTCATCCAAATAACAGTTTCCTAGTTAAATCACCACATGTTTATTTGTCTTGATTAATATGCAAATTCACTTCTGATTCTAGTAAATCTTCTCTATTTGAAAGCACAAAAGTAAAGTACTATCATACATCAACAGTGATGTGCTGCATGTTTCCACTGATTAATTATATTTTACAAAGTGTTGATCAATTTGTGCATTTTAAAAATATAGTTGTCTATAATGAGAGTAAAAGAGAGTTATGAGAGATGGAGCTGATCAGTAACTTTAAGAAAATCAGAAAGATAACCTTATTCTGTGTTTTGGTACAAACTAAAAATCCCTGGGATGTTTAAGGAAGATACAAACCTTTGAGAGGAAAACCAATAACATTGGATCTCAACAGGCTTGGAAACTAAAGGAAGAGATAGACACTAATAAACGATTTCTCACCATTTTACTTTATGTATGTTTAGCTGTCAGATATACTGGTTAAAATGTAATTTATTCTCTGACAAATGTAATTCCAAGCACAAATCAGAACTGAACAATATTCAGATCATGTTGTCCCAGTAGTTCATTGTTCTCTTTCAGATTTAGCGCCTTTTTTGGCAGGGGAGGGAGGATGACAAAAAATAAATAACCATAGCCTGAACACAGGTTAAAACCCCCAAATTCCAGTCATCTCTAGGCAAGTAATTGAAGACACAAGGTTGTTTTTTTTTTTTTGCTGCTGTTTTTATTTTTTAGAGATAGTAGTAGAATTTTGATCAGTATAGACTTTGAGCTGGTCTATTTATTTGCCTTTATGTTATAAAAAAAATATGATTACCAAATATATTAATGGAAGGTGGTATTGTACTTCTCTTTTAGACTTCATGGTCTTGACTTGTGACCGTAACTCTTCTACTTTAACACTAAAATATTCTTCAGCGATACCTGTATCACTGGTTAGAAGTAAGCATTTTGTTCAGAGCCTGTCAAAACAGCTCTGTCTTGTCACAGATGTGCTCGCCGTGCTGTGGTGTGTAGGCTGCATGGACGTGTGGTCGCACAGGGCTCTGAAGGGCCTGGTCAGGCCTGGGCTGAACTTCTCTCTAGCAGTCTTCTAAAACTTTTTCAATTCTGGACAATGCATACAGTTCAGTACCTAATCGCAGGTTGGAGAGTTTCACTTCTGCTTGTAGTGTGTGCTGGGAAAAATGTAAAGACCTGGTGCAGGGAGGTTACAGGCTCTGATGGTCTGCTCAGAGTCACGAGTCATGTCGTCCATACAACGGCATAACCGGGAGTGAACCTCCCCGTCTCCCCTCCCCTCCTCTGAAATCCCAAGTCATAAATGAAGTGTTTTCTTTGTCTATTCTTTTAAAACTGTTTGATTTTTAGATTTCATTTTTATTTTTTTAACTTAATATCAAGATACGGAGGTTTCTGCAAAAGATTTGTTGGTATTTGAGCTTGAGACGGGAATGCTTTGTAATTTTCTGGGTTGAGCTCTTCTCCTGGAGGAAGCTGCTAAAACTTCAGGTGTTTTACCTTTGTACTTTTTTGCAAATTCATTAAGTGCCAACTAAGCAGTTCCAGATGTATGTGTGCACACAGTCTTCTGTAAATTCAAATTGTAACAATTCTTTTTTATTTAAAGGCTCTGTAGACAAGCCTAATAGTATCTGGTAGGCAATATTCTTATGAAGTAAGTGAATGATTTCAGCAGGTGATTTTAATAGAGAACCCATATGTGCATCTAACTTCCTGTGAAACTCGTATGCTCTTATTTTAGGTTTACCTTGTTACAGCCTAGTGAATCTGGGCTTCTGTAGGAGGCTGTACTGCATAGCCATCATAGTATGATAAACAACTTAGCATAAAAAAGAAAAATGAAAAAAAGTACTGAATAAATTGAAACACAAAATGGACTAACCTGAAGATTAAAAAAAAATAGAAAAGAAAAAGAAAAAGAAAAAGGATGGAATAGTTTCATAGAGATAAAATAATAAACTGAAAAAATGATTTTGTGCTACTTTGATGTACAGTAAAACAAAATAACACTAGCACACTGTGTGAAAAATGAACAGGTTAATGGTACCTCTGTGTAGTGTTGCTGGAAGTTGTCTTCATTTAAACACAGAGTTTGTCTTACATTGATGGAGGGCTTTGCCACTGTAAGTTGATAGAGTGAGGTTTAACTGAAATTTCTTTGTGGACTTGAAGTCATTTTGGAAATGCTCTCTATTCAAACCTCATTCATTGTTGCAGCATAGTTATTTTATACAATGTTTCACCGTATTTTGTCAAATCCTCTATTATTCAACAAAGTAAAATTTGTTTTGATCAAAGAGAAGCTGCAATGCTGTTACAAACACTAGGAGGCTGTTATTTTTATTACTTGGCTTGGGAAAGTTGATTCAAATGGTTCTTTGCTCCGTAAATCTGTATTATGATGGCAGCTGTACAGGATGATTTCATGTATGCATACTGATTTAAGGGACAAATGTGATAGCTGAAAATACATAAATGTAATGTGAATATAAAGATCTTTAACATTTTGGATTAAAAATCAGAATCATAATTCCTAAGATGGTCAAGGCGTGCTGAGTTTTTGCTGGGTTGGGCTAACATTCTTGGTTTAACCTTTCTGTAGTAAGCAGAAACACAAGTCAATCCAAGAACATAAATAGTCAGGGTTGGGAAAGTTAACTGTTAAATTACTACTGCATCTTCAGAAATAGACTGTTACCCGCCATGATTCAGAAGGTGGAAATTATTATCATAAAGATGGTGTTGTAGGTTTCCATTCCTCATCTTTAGGCCGTGTAACTTTTCGGTCTTGGATAGTCCAGGTGCATGGCCTCAGAGCAGTTACCTGCTGAGATCCCTCTCCATTCATGACCTGTAAGAAGTGGGAAGCCCTGGATAATGAAAAAGCTTGGCCAGTGTATGGATTGTAGAGGTCCCTGTAGGTGTGCCTCCTTGAGGCCAGCCTGGATGGGCAGGCTGAGATGCTTGGTCATCCCTGAGCTGGCCCATAGCAGTTGCCAGAAAGAGCATGGCTACATTCATGTGAGCCTGAGCTCATAAATTCTAATGGACCCAATCTGAATAGCTCTGGTGTCCCTTAATCTCTCAAGTTCCATTTTACAGGCAGGAATATTAAGAAACAAATATTAATTACCAAAGCAGTGGTATAGTAGGACTAGAAATATGGATTGCTTTGGTTTTGGTGTTTTAGTGCTGGTAAAATAAATGTTTTCTAGTCGTTTGCGTGACTTTGAACCATAATTGTGTTAACTATAAGTGGTTTTCTGCAGTTTACTGATAGTTCATTTGAAATCTGTAAGGTTCTTGTTGTACACTTAATTGACTGGCTTATTTTTATTTTTTCCTAGGCAAGAATTTCTAATGTATTTTTGTGTATTGTCGATGTTCATATGTGTTACATAAATCAATACCGTGCATAGTAAGCAAATATTTCAAAAATAAAACGTGTTTTCATTTATCTTCTTATTTTATCAGCTCACGACCAGGAAGACCCCCCAAGCGTTCCCTAGGAGTTGCGATACAAGAAAATGCACGTCTTCTGCCCCATGGAGTTCCAGGCCTCTTATCACCAGGACTTATCTCTCCGACAGGTAATAAAATCCATCAGATGATCAGCCTCATCTCTTCATACTGCACAGCAGTTAAAATAAACTAATATTGATCTAACTGCCTTGTCCTTCAGGGCTTTTTCAAGCTTTACCAGAGGTTACATTATTGGATTTTTTGAGTGTTCATGAAAATTCTGTTTTGTTGCTGCAGTGACTGAAATCTAATGGATTTGTAATTTAGTCCTTTATTAATTGTAATTTCCTTACAGGAAATTCCATTAAATGTGTTATTTTAGTAAAAGAAAAAAAAACTGAGAAAATGAACTATTGTCTCAGAGAGCCCCATAGCATGCATTTCTTCCTTTCAAATGCATGTGTATTTTAGTTCTCGTGGGATATGAACAGCGTGGCTAATGTGTATTGTATTGTAACATCATTAATGTATGCTGGGAAGATAGCAAAATGCGTGTATGAATTGTAGAAGAAACATTCAAAAAGCAGATAAGTTCACATTGCCACAGTGGATTCTATTTTAATAATCTGCATTAAATATCTTAATATGAAAAATAGCAGAAAAACATGTGAAATAATAAGCAATCCCTGAACATAATTTAATGCATATTATTTTATTCCACTTCATTAATTTATTAGTAGAGTTTAAATTAAATCTTGCACTATCTTGATGAGAGTTTTAATTTTTTATTAATTGATGTGTGCCAAAGACAAGTAAGTTTATTTTGGTAATAAAATCAATAGGATATAGCTATATTAGCTGACTATATTCCTAAAAGTAATTATTTAAATATTCAAGTGGCTTAGCAAATTTAGGATTACTGTCAAAGTCCAGTCTAAATGTATTATATCTCCATAATAACCAAACTTAGTAAAGTATTTAGCAGAATACAAAGTCACAGAGCAACTTACTGGAAAAATAGAATTAAATAAGCGATTTTTAGGGGAATAGTGATTCTGGTCTTGACCTTGCAGATTACTCTGCTTGCAAAGCCTGTTGCACTGGGACTAAGTGCCCCGGTAGGTCCCAGTGTTCAGGAAGGTAACAAAGCTGAGATCTTGAATTTCTCCAACAAATCCAGGTGTTGTGAAGATTTCACAGTGAACCAATAGCCCTTACCACGGTGGAAGTAGAAATAAATATTCTGAAGCTGTAGTAGCTAGTATAATTATAAAGCGTTTTACTACGCTTAGATGCCACAGTCAAGCTAGTGCAACTTCACATACTGTAAATACGTGTAGTAGGGATTTAGAGTTGTGTGTTTATTCTTGTGAGCAGTTAACAAATGAGGTTTTTAGTAGCTCTCATGTTCTTGGCCCAGGAAGTTCATGGATTTGGTATTGTGTTATTACCAACAGACAGGAAAGGACAAAAGCTGCCTTGTATTGATAATTTTTTGTCAGAAATCCAGAATATTGTGTATTACTTTTCCACCCTGTTTTTTGCAAACAGGACATCAAATTATGCAGATTATTGCATTTCTTTAAATTGGGAAATATTTTCGATCTCAGTGTGTTGAATATGTATAGTATAATATTGTATAATATAACATTGTATAATGTTGAATATGAATAGTAAAATAGCATCATAGATGCATACAGTCTCCCACATCTTTTAAGTATCACAGTGTTTGAGTAAAAAAAAATATGTTGAAATCGAATTTCTAGATAGTTTTATGTTGTTTGGAGTCTGAAGTGATGACTGGGATGTATCCTACCTCATTTAACTTGTGGAGGATTGTGTAAGGAGATTGGCCCCCGGGGGCTGCCCTTCAGCTGAGGTGCAGGGTGGCTGCCTTTCTGACCTTGTGAGCCCTGTATGAAAACCTTCGTGTGACCGAATGCCAAGAGTCGCAGACAATATGCCTCGAGCTGCTGAAAGGGAATTTTGCGGGCAGCTTGTAGGCAGGAGAAAATGCTCGTTTCCACAGCGTGACAGAGTAGTTGAGGGCCCAAATGAGATGGGTCCCTGTCACCAGCCTGTGACAAAGCAGCTCCACACCATTGGCTGTATAGTCTCATCACTCAGGAATCGGAGCTCTTGAGTTATTGTTTTATCTTGTTCATGAAAAAAAACACAGTGTAATGAAAGTTGGGGTAAGCACTGGATAAGGAAAGGTGCTACAAGAACCCCTTGTAAATTCATTTTAAGATGTTGCAAACTTGATGGAGCACCTGGCATATGAAGCCTCCATTAGCTTTATTTATATCTATTAACACTTAATGATTGCTTTGCTCTGGTTACCCCTCCTCTTCTGTCTTCTGACGATCAAGTGAAGGAGTTTGTGTCCATTCTTGCAGTTGGTTAGATGGAGGTCTCTTGAAGTAGCTGTTCTGGCCACAGAGCTCACCGACCCGTCTGTAGAGGGTATTACAGAGTGATGATTAGTAACTTCCTGCAGACTTGAGTGAGCCATCTGTGTTTCCACTCCTTGAAATGTGCTGTTATTTTCATCACCCATTTGGTTTGTGTCAGCTCAGTTTACATGGTCATTTTCACATAATAAACAGGTAGTTAAATTAGGCATACTGCATTTCCCAGCGCAGAGTGTAATTTTTTTTTTCTTTTTACATCTTGGCAAAGTGGACCACAGCCACGTTTACGTATAAGTAATTTGTGAAGGAGCTGTAAGTGAAATGTCTACATTTTAAAATATTTGCAGGTACCTTCCACCTTTGGGGAATGGGAATGTTTGACTTACGATGAGACTGGAGCAGCAGGGTGCTTAAAGCTGTTGTGATTGAGAAAGATGAGGCGGTGTGGCTGGGATGCGTGCCACCAGGAAGGGCTTGAGCAAACAGCACGATAACCATGCCCAAGAGCTGATATTTAAGTACTGCCCATTATGCATTAGTTTGGGAGAAAGTGTTTTGCTTCTTGTATTCTTGCAGGAAACATGGAAATCAGCGCGTTGCCCTTGCCTGCTGTGAGGGCAAAGGAAAAGTCCCGTATGTCAGCGAGCGCCAGTCATCAAAGGCTCTGTTCTTCAAACAGTGCAGGGGGATGAAGTGACAGTAACAAAAAAACCCACTTCATCTCCTATTAATGTATAAGACTTTGTCATCAGTGATCAGTGTATCTTAACAAGACAGTTGGGACTTACAGAATAGATTTTTTGTAACTTCTAGGCTCTGAAGCAGTGGCATGCAGTGTGGAGAGAAGCTGAAATCCTTTACGTGATTTAAACCCGTAGATTAGAAAATTTGATACGGAGTGAAGCTGAAAGAGCAGCTGGATCTTTTGATAGTTACTCGTGCTGACTTCAGCCCTCCTACCTGTGATCTAGCTCCACTCTGTTTTCAAGGTATCAGAGAGGGTGGCTTATGGAGGAAATCATCATGCCTCTAGAAGGTGGTTACACTGCAGTGCAGGGCACAAAGCCGCTTTCAGGGGCAGGGCAGGCCACTCTGACTGCCTTTGGGCTGGGCATTGCACAGCTGAGGCTGATGAGGCACTGTGGCCCAGGAAGATGGATGCGATCCATGTTAAAAAAAGGTCTCTTGCCATTTTATTTTCCTGAGATTTGCTGTCCAGAGCTGCGTGGCCTGGCAGGCCTGATGTGCTACATCATAAGCACTTTCATAAGCAGACAGTTAAAACAAGCATTTTCTGTGTCACTAGCTGTTTGTCTAGTGTTTGTAAGAATGTAATAATTAAAACATTGACTTGTTTGTACAGACATGAATAATTTTTCATGTGAAGTTTTGGCTTATTAATAGTTAAGAACTTGTGAACTGAGGAGTTTAATGTATTTAATATTTTAGTGAAATTAATATTTCAATAGATATACCAAATAACAGCATTCTGAGCTAGAAAAAAAAGAAAAAAATTGGACAAAAAAAGTGAAAAAGATAAAAAGTAACTTAGAGGAGTACGGTAGCTTCATGTGTTACTTGAGTTCAGCAGCGCTATTTAGCAGTCACTTAGTCTTTCTGTGGAACAGAGAGGATACAATAGTATTTACTGTTGTCTTTAAGCGTTTTTATTTGGTTTACCTGTTTTAGAGGAACAGGAGAGACTAGAGGCCTTCAACATCTTTGGTGTCCAGCTGCTCTTTACGGAGGTGGGCCTGTGGTCAGGCAGCACGGCCCCACTGCCTGTGGGAACTCCCCAGTGCTGTCGACTTCACGGATCTCCGCCTTGTTTCCCTCTGGAACTGGTGCTGCTCCGGTGCCCTCCAGGCTCTCCTGGCTGAGGACCTGTAAGAGGTGCCCTGGGTCTGAAGAGCGGGGCAGCAGGGATGTCCCTTATGGAGGGGTGCAGCAGGGCTGGAGACAGCAAATCTGCTCCACGTGCAGCATTGGCTCAGGGACCAGGATTGCCAGAACCAGGCTCCGAAGGTTTCCGTGTTTGTACTGTACTGTGAAGCCTCCTTTTTAAGAAAGAGTTATTTGAAGAATAAGCATTCATTCAGGGTCACTTTACAGAACATCTATTGATCGATTTCACCGCTTGGGGTGTTAGATGTAGGGCTGCCGTGGCTGGCAGCAGTCCTGGAACCTCTGAGAGCACGGAGCAGATGATCTTAAGGTTAAAAGAACCCTTTCCTTTCTCAAAATGCTTAACCGAGCATTTTTGTATGTTTACATCCTATTTCTGTGGCTCATTTCACTGTTTATGGTTATCCTTTTTTTCTTCGGTTGTCATAGATGTCACTTTAAAGTTCCATTTATAATGAGAAACATATGTACAACTTTGTCATTGTTGGCATTACCTGGCTTGGTAGAAATTATTATTTTTAATCAAAGGCAGACATACTGATTAAGGATGCCACAGCACTTCGCTGCCGATGGGGAACGTTAACAGTTTATAAATTGTTCTTGGTGACAATTCAGTAGTGAATTACTTTGATATATATGGCTAATAAATTAATATGATTAAGTTAATGAGTAGTACAAGTGTTGCCAAACTCCGCTCGTCAGGCTTTTAATGCTGCTCCACATTTGCAGCTCTAGCTTCCCCCTGTGGTGAGAGGATCAGTGCTACCTACGCACTGTCATTGTGATAAATGGCATATCCCACAGTGCCC